AGATTATTAACCTTAGTTTTTGTATTCAAGTTAAGTTTTGGGATCCATTGAAGGCTTGCCTTGTTTGGGGTGTCTTTGTGTACCTTAGTACTGATCAGAGGAGTACGAAGCAGCAATGGGATTGTTTAGTGAGTGAAAGTAGGAAGTGGGGTCAAAATTGGTTCATAGGTGGGAATAATTCGGACTGCAAGCCATGAACTCCTACGGCTGAAAGCCACGACTTAGCGGATGAAGAAAGGAGACACTAGACTTTCTTTAATCGAAGATAAGAGAAAAAGAGCCCAAAAGGCGATTCGGACTGAGAGAGGGGGAATAAAACGGCCTGAGAGCTCAATGCATCCTTTCAGGGAGTTTGTAGGGCAAATGGGAATGCAAGAATTTGGTTGGCAGGGTTACCAATACACTTGGGGTAACAATAGACTTGGGGAGGGATTTGTAGAGGAAAAAATAGATAGAATATTTGGATCTCTTTAATGTTTCAGTATCTATCCAAATGCAATGGTGACAAATTTCTTCAGAAGCTCCTCAGATCACAGCTTACTACTCCTAAGCCTAAACTCGGCTAATAGCACTCATAAAAGAAGATTTTGCTTTAACAAGAATTGGATAGGCAAACAAGGGCTTAGTGAGACCATTGAAAAAGCTTGGAGCTAAAAAACCACAGACACCCCCATGTTCTGCTTTCTATCCAAGATTAAGCTGACAAGAGTGGCTCTTCTCAAATGGAGCAGTGGGTTCAGAACAGAAACAACTAAGAAGATTGCAGAATTGAATAATCAGCTAACTGCCCTAAGAAATATGGGTGGACTCAAAGATTGGAGTCAATGGGACTCTTTGAATAAGCAGCTTGCTGAGATCCACAAGGAAGAAGAAAAGTATTGGCAACAAAAATCTCGAATTACCTGGCTCAAAGAAGGCGGCAAGAACACAAGGTTCTTTCATGCAAGCACTATTCAGAGGAGAAAGAGAAAATCACAAGACTAATCAGAGCTGATCACACTGTCTGTGAGCAACAAGATGAAATTGCAGATTGTATTGAAGCTTTTTATAAGGATCTGTTCACATCTGAGATCTCAGGGCCAAGGGATGACATTTTGCATAGTTTGCTAGCCCCAATCACTGAGGAACAAAACAAAGAACTCACAACAATAGTAGAGATGGATGAGATCAAGCAGGCCCTGTTCTCCATCAACCCAAATAAAGCACCCAACATGGATGGTATTTGATATGGGATATTATACACTTAAGGAATAAACCGGTTCATTATGCTGGTCGTACAGGCTTAATATCGGGAAAACCACGTTGGTCGAGAAATAACAGGCTGGAAGGAAGTGGTCGAGCATGGTAGCAGATCTGATCGATGATCGACCTTGTGAGGGGGAGCTCAGTAAGATCGAGCACCCAGCGAGTGAAGAGCAATCGCAGGGCGTGGTGTTCACGCGAGGAAGCGCGTGGACTCCGTCAGAAAATCTCAAGGGAATATTCAGGAGAATAATTACCCTCTGTTTAGAGGGACACGTGGTGAGAGTACATTGGTGCAGAGTGATAGTGGCGATAACCACCTCTGACACACACACACACTGTGTATGTACGGACGGGCAGTGCTGGGTAGGACAGCTCATCAGATCCGGGCAGCTCCTAGGGCAGGTATCTCACTCCTATATATATAGGAGTGAGTCTTTTTTGGTACTCACGATTTATCCATTTCTTACTTTGGAGAATTGAGTGAAACACATACTTACTTAAGCGTCGGAGGCTCTTCACCGGAAAAACCCCCCGGTGTGAGAGTTCTTTGCAGCATTCTACTGGCGAGGAAGAGGAAGACGAGCCGATTTCAAGCCGGTCGAAGTGTTTTGCGTTACCAGTATTACTTCTTTATTTTTCCGAAAATTCTGGGATATAATCAAGTAGGATTTGTATTCCACTGTTGTGAGCTTTTTTTATTCAAGGAAACTTCTCAAAAGCTTAAACCATACTCTTTTAACTCTCATTCCAAAGATTCTCAATCCTGATCATGTCTCTCACTTTAGGCCCATCAGTCTATGTGGCACAACATATAAGATTATCTCTAAAATTCGAGCCACTAGACTTTAACCCTGTTTGCCTTACTGTATTTCTGATACTCAGGCTGCATTTGTTAAAGATAGGCAAATACTGGATAATGTCATAGTTGCTCAGGAAGCTATCAATTTTCTTAACAGGCATAGGCATAGCAACTCTTATTACATGGCCATTAAATTAGACATGTCCAAAGCATTTGATAGGGATGAGTGGTTATGTGTTAAGCACACTTTGATTAGTCTAGGATTTCATTCTACTTTTGTCAAATGGATCATTGCATGTATATCTTCTCCCACTTTGTATTTTAACTTGAATGGTGCTCCCCATGGTTTTGTTAAACCATCCAGAGGAATCAGGCAAGGGGACCTACTGTCCCCTTACATACTTATATTAATTTCTGAAATTCTTTCTCATCTCATCACCATGGAGTGCCAAACATGAAATTTCAAAGGCCTCAAAATCTGCAGAAATGGTCCAACTTTAACCCATTTGTTTTCGCTGATGACACCTTGATATATGGCCAAGCAAATGTTCAACAAGCTCAATTGATTCTCAGCATTCTGGATAAATATAGTCAATGCTTGGCCAACAAATTAACCTGCAAAAGTCATCTATCTTTTTTAGTAAAAACACACCCTCCCATATTCAAAGTCATATCTGTCAAATCTTCCTTGGTATCACTTGCCATAACTCTGTGAGATACCTGGGGCTTCCCTTGGGTGTTAGACAATAAGAAATTCAAACTTTTCAGTTTAGTCAAGAGAATGTGGCTAACAGGATTGCTTCTTGGAAAAATAGATTTCTATTTCTTGCAGGGAAAGAAACTTTGCTCAAGTCAGTTCTCTCAGCACTCCCTCTGTATGCTATGTCCTGCTTCCTATTGCCAAAAGCTATTTGCCACAAAATCTCACAAACTTTTGCTGGTTTTTGGTGTCGAAAGGAGACTGCTCAGAGTAAATGTTTCCATTGGAAATGATGGAATTTCCTCACAATGCCAAAAGCAAGAGGTGGGTTAGGCTTCAAAGATATTCTCTTGTTCAGTGTTTGTTCTATTTTTGTTACGTTTTTCTTTATTTTTTTGTCGTTCTTTTTCTACCGTGTTAGGTTTTTTTGTTGGTTTATAGTTTGTTTTGTTGATTATTGCGTGTTTTCCTTTATTTTGGTTCTTTTTGTGTTTTTCGTGTGTTTTTCCGGTTTTTCTTTGTTTTTGGTGTGCAGGTCGGAATCCCTATGAGGAATATATTTAACCCAAAAATCGACCGGGCAATCATGGTTGAGTAGAAGGGTTCGTTGGCAACACGTTGGAAAAAACAGAGCTCAATTTCGAGCTTGGACGAGTCCAAACGGGCCCAAAACGCGAAGTCGCACGTAACACGTTCAGTGTGTAGGTCAAGAGCTTTGGGAGAATATTATTTCAAGAATAATTTGTCCATTCAAGCATTATTGAATAGAGGGGTTCGTTAGCAATGCATAGAAAAAAAAATAACTCAATTCCGAGTTCGGACGAGCCCGAAACGCAAAGTCGCGCAGCCGAGCCAGCAGCCCCGCGCGGCGTGGCAATGCCTTTCTCCGCGCCGTGGCGCCTCCGCGACCCCGACAGAGCCTCCCAGGCTTCTCAGCGCCGCGCCGCGGCAGCTCGCCCTGCTGCTATAAAAACACTCCCAGACCGTCATTTTCGCTCAGACTGGACAGGGGTGAAACCCTTAAGTCCCGAAATCGCACCGCAACTCCTCCTCTTCTTCTTCTTCACTTTTTCTTCTCCTTCTTTTTCTTCTTCTTCTTCTTCTTCTTCTTCTTCTTCTTCTTCTTCTTCTTCATTTTTCTTCTTCTCTTCACCTTTCTTCTCCATTTTCTTCTCCATTTTCCTTTTTTTCTTCTTTTCTTCTTCTCTTCTTCTCCATCTTTCTCCTCCGTTTCTTTCTTCATTTTGTTTTTCTTTTCCATTTTAGGGATTAAGCTTGTATTATGGATTCAACACTTGGATTGAGATTAATTGTAAGTTTTTCTTCTTGTTTAAATATTGAAAATGGTTGAATTGGGAGAAATGATTGATTTTATAATGCGTAGTTAATTCCTATTGCTAGGGATAGGGGATGATTGTTCTTGTTTAATTTCGTAATTGTTGGTCTTTAATTTATTCATTCTTGTGCGAGTTGAATTGATTAGGAATTGATGAATTCTTGCTTAATTTATTGATAATTTGATATAACCTAAGAGTGACACTTAGGTTAATTTATTGATATAATCGAAGAGTGACACTTCGATTTTGCGATTAGAAATGATTGAATGTTGATTTGTCGAGTTGGGTTTGTTGATTCTACATGATTAGTTGATTAAACACCTTCTAATTTATTTAGCGACTTTTTGAACCGATAGGGAGGAGTCGTAGAACTAGGCTCGTACGAGGTAGACATGTTCGAAGACGTATTTTCTATAGGTTTTGAAGTACACGCTTGTCGATGTCTCTTCCCATGTTACAAAGAGTTATTGGGATGGGATTATTGGCCGGTGTTGTATGCTCGAACTTGGGCAAAATTACAAAAAAGATACACTAAGTTGGGCGTTGTCAAGAAAAGAGACATTTTGTTGTCCCTCTCGGAAAAGACACACGAAGTTGGCATTTTCGTCGGAAACGATACATTAATCACCCCTGCGGGATAAAAATCTGACGTGGCCTGATTATCTTATTACCTGGCATTTAATCTTTTGGTATATTCATGCATGGAATTTACATGGCCGACACCGTGGATAGGTGGCCTAATTTTGGAGGGAAATCCCAACACACCTGTTCGTCTGTCCCGCCCCTATTTCATTTCAATCGTGAAGAAAAAACCCTAGATTATCTTCATTTCAATTTTGACCTCAATCACTCACATAATGAAGAAAAACTAACCTAGATTATCTTCCAGTTCAATCACTTACATCAATTTCGACCTTAATCAATCAACCACTGTCACAATGAAGAAAAAACTTGTTCGAAATTCGAATCTCGTTTTGAAGTTAGCAAGAGGCCTTCGTGTTCCCGACTGCGAGATTCAAATACGCCTCAGTGACAAAGAATGTTCCCCAGCTCCTAGATATAGTATGTCAAATAATGGTTTTCTTTTTCTTCTTTCAATGAATTTACCATTTGTTAATGTTTTTTTTTTCCCTGAGAAAAGAGCCGATGTTGGGCAGTCTCATGGTTGTGTATGGAATCTTGGACCATATTGATTTTAATTTTAATTTTAATTTTGTCAGTCTACACTATTTTCCTTTCCTAGATGCTTTTTCATTGCATTTTTTATTGTTACTGCAGGTACAACTAGTAAATTCTTCACAGTTACCCTAGAATTTTGGGGTAAATTTGATATTGGGAAAAAAATATTCTTCATATCTAGGTGGGAGTAGAATATTGTTTGACTATGTGGATTATGAAATGGTCACACTTGCTGACTTTAAGTCTGTGGCAGAATTTAAAGGGTGCAAAAACCCTATGAGACTGCATACATATGTTGGTGGTGGGAGTTTCATGTTACTTTCAACAGAGACTGATCTTGAGAGTGTGTGGTAAAGAGAAATGAACAACATTAGGGAGGTTAGTTTGTTTGTTGAAGAACTATGTGAAAATACAGAAAGTGTTAATGCACCTGAAATTGAAACGGAGGTTGGTGAAGATGATAGTGATGAAACTTTTGAGTAGGAGAATGATAGTGAGGTTGACAAGTTGGATGACATCTTGTTTGATGAAAATATGGATGAATTTGAGGTTGAGGTTGGGGCTGAGGCAGAGGAGGGTGAGGTTGAGGATGAGGCTGAGAAGGTTGAGGGTGAGGGTGAGAAGGGTGAGGGTGAGGGTGAGGGTAAGGTTGAGACTGAGCTTGGGGTTGAGAAGGGTGAGCTTGGGGCTGAGAAGGTTGATGAGGGTGAGGAGAGTGTTGAAGATTTAAATCAGGTTGTGGATGAGGTTGCTGAGTTTATGGCTAAGAATGGTGGGTTTGATGATGATGGTGGGGTTGGTGGGGAGAGTGAGGAGAGTGAGGATGATATTTTGGATTGGGAGTATGATATGGAAGCTGACAAGGTAGATGACAAGATGTTTGATGATAATGTGGATTTTGATGCTGAATGGTGGCATGGTCAGGGGGAAGGTGTTAAGAAATGTGTAAATGATGGTATCTCAGTTGAAAATGAAACTGATGTGGTCTATTGTGATGATTTGCATAGTGATGACAGTTCTGAAGGAAAGAATGCAGGTCACCAGTATCCTATTTTCAACACTGCAGAGTTATATGATCCTACTTTCAGGGTAGGTTTGGTTTTTAGTACCAAAGGTGAATTGAGGACAGCAATTCAGTCAAATGCAAAAGAAGTGTGAAATTAACTAGAAGAGATAGGAAGTATATCCATGCTAAATGTGTTGATTCTACTTGTGATTGGAAGCTGCATGCAACTAAGATCAATGGAGAGGAGGCCTGGCAAGTGATAACGTACACTCACACTCATACTTGTGCTGCCACAACAAAGGTTAAAAATATTACCTCAAGATGGCTTGCTGGTAGATATGCTCATGAGCTGCAAGGTGATCCTGACAGAAAGATTAAGGGTTTTAGGAACAGTAAAGTGAGGGAGCTGAGAGTGACATTCTCTAGAGCACAAGCATATAGGGCAAAAATGATAGCACTTGCAGAAAAGACTGGATGTCCTAATGACTAGTATACTCTTCTTTGGGATTACTGTGATGAGATAAAAAGGACTAATCCAGGGAGCACAGTGATTTTGGGTACTGATGATAGTAGTGGGGAGAACTTGTTTGACATGTTCTACATTTGCTTGAATGCACTGAAAGTTGGATTTAAAGCTGGTTGCAGACCATCATTGGAGTGGATGGCTGTCACTTGAAAGGCCCCAACAAGGGAGTGCTACTATGTGCTGTGGGAGTAGATCCTAACAATTCCTTGTTTCCTTTAGCTTATGCTATTGTTGAAAAGAAAAACAGAGACAACTGGGAGTGGTTCATTTTTCTATTGAAATTGGACCTTGAGATTGAAAAGCAACATGAGTGGACATTTATTTCTGATAAACAGAAAGGACTGATTCAGGCCTTTCAACAAGTGTTGCCTAACTCAGATCACAGGTTTTGTGTGAGGCACCTTTTGGGTAACTTAAAAAATGCAGGTTTTAGAGGGATTGGGTTTAAGAATGCAGTTTGGAGAGCAGCTACAGCATCTACAGTCAATGGTTTTTCAAGGAAAATGGATGCACTGAAAGTGTTGGAAGAGAGTGCTTATGACTGGTTAAGTGACAAACCACCTCATCAATGGAGCAGGTCTCATTTCAGTGAGTTTCCCAAGTGTGACATGTTGCTAAATAATGGCTGTGAGACATTCAACTGCAACATCTTAGAAGCTAGAAGTATGCCCATCTTATCAATGCTTGAGTGGATCATGAATTACCTGATGAAAAGGTTGCAACTGAATAGAGATAAGGCAGAAAAGTGGGATTTTTCATTTTGTCCTAAGGTGAGGGAGATAATTGATAACCATATTGAAAATTTGGTTGACTGTATCCCATTGAAGTCTAATGATTTCAATTTCCAAATTGAGGTGTTCAATGGTGATCAGTTCAAAGTGGATTTGGAAAACAAGAGTTGTGGTTGTAGGAGGTGGCAACTGAGTGGAATTCCTTGTATCCATGCAGTAAGTGCTATTCATTTTCAAGGCTGGAACATTGATGATTTCATACATCCATGCTACAAGACAGAGACCTATAAAAAGGTTTATCTCCAACCATAATGCCCATCAATGGCAGAAAAGAATGGAGAAGGACAGGATATGCCCCTCCATTGCCACCTAATAATGGTAGAGCAGCTGGTAGGCCCACTAGAGTGAGGAGAATGGAACCTGATGAGGTTCAACCTAAAAGAATTAGAAAGAAAAGGGTTAAGCCTCGACTTGTGACTCCAGCCAATACTATCAAAAGGCAGCAAACAGGGTTAAAGTGCACTTTTTGCCTTGTGGAAGGCCACAACAAGAGAGGCTGCCTTCTAATGAGGGAAGGTAATGCAGATCCTGCAGCCATTGGTCTAGAAGATAGGCCTCAAAAGCTGAAGGTACTTTTATAATGTTGGTTTAAATTTAATATTGAATTCAAATTCTGTTACCTTGTTTAGTAAAAAGAAAATTTTTATTCTTTCAAGTTAGAAGGATGACAGACAAAGCTCCTGCAATAGGAATTTCAACTCAAGAGAGTGTTGTAACTGTAAGAAATACTTTTTTGTGCCTTATTTCATCATTGAAAATTCATAGTTGTATTTATATTATAAATTATCTTGTAGGGTGAAGGCCAAGCCCACAAGAAAAGAAAGAAAGGGAAAAAACAAACCACAGTCCCAAAATTCATTCAAGCACCTTCAATGTACCATCAATATACTTCTGCTCAAGGGGGTCCAACTTCTGGGGTGAACATTAGAGGTCCTCCTACATTTCAGGTGGGTCTATTTATACCAAGTCAAGAAAGTTGCCTTTCAGAGAGGGACACTAGGCTCAAACAAATATTTCAAGAAGGAGGACAGAAGTACATATTTGTGTCTGAGCTTATGTCTGGCACGAACAATCCAAAGAAGAGTGATGATGATAGAGGAAAACAGAAATTGCTGTGATGATGGATGATTGATGATTATTCTGAATGTGTTGTTATGAACTTGACAGTTTTTTGTGTTTTGTACTTCAAAGTTGTTTTGCTGTGAATGGTTATGGTGTGATGGTGAAAAGTGAAAACTGTGTTGCTTTGTTTGGGAAGGTTATGGTTATGAGATGTTGTTTTGGTTTGAATGGTTTTTTGGATCTGAATTTGTAATGGATGATTTATGGTGAATGGTGATTGGTTTTAAAGTGTTGTGTTTTTACACCTTATTGCATTGTTGTTTGATCTCAGTTGGCAATATCTGAATTTTGATCTGAATTTTGATCTCAGCTGGCAATATATAATACCTATTGCTTGTCTTTTTCAGTGTGTGCTAACTGGGAAAAAAAAAACATTTCTTCAACAGATCAATTCAATATACTTCATAAGCAACAAACACAGAAATCAATCCACTTCATAATCAACCAACAAATATTCAGTACATTAGAACAGATCCCACTTTTTTTTGAATGAACAATTCAATCTTTATTTCACTAAAACACATAAGATCAAACCAATACAAATACCAACAATAAACAAGTGAATTCTCTTCATCCTGTCCATCATCAACTTCACTTGAGAATCAAATTTTCCATTGGAATCTTCAAGTATTGAAATCTTCATCTTCAGAACTTTCAATTCAGCCTCCAGCAAAACAATCTTCATTTCAGATTCTTGAGCCTTACAACCAAAATCTTGATTATTCACACCTGATGAAGTTTCTGAGTTGATTTGAGAAGTTGGTTCGGCCCACATGAAAAAAGTGCACCCTACTTCCTTCCACTTCTTACAACCATAGAATCTTTTCCCAGGATTGTGACTCGTCTTCGAAGTCCTCAATTGGGTCTTCTTTAGACAATCGCACAAAATGTCCGACGGAGAAGAAAAAGAAGACGCTGACATCTTCGTGATTTTATTTTATTGATGTTTTTATACTTGAAATGAATTATTGAGATCCAATTGAAGGTGACGATTTTTAGGGTTCTTCGAAATACCCTAATTCTGGCCGATCGAAATGAGGGATTGGATCTGATTTGTGATTTTCCCGCAATTAATACTTCGGTCCTCGGTGGTCAACAGGTGTGTTGGGATTTCCCTCCAAAATTAGGCCACCTGTCCACGGTGTCGGCCACGTAAATTCCACGCATGAATATACCGAAAGATTAAATGCCACGTAATAAGACAATTAGGCCACGTCAGATTTTTATCCGCAGGGGTGATTAATGTATCGTTTCCGACGAAAATGCCAACTTCGTGTGTCTTTTCCGATAAAAAGAGGGACAACAAAATGTCTCTTTTCTTGACAACGCCCAACTTAGTGTATCTTTTTTGTAATTTTGCCCTTCAATCCCATGTTATGAAGAGTTATTGGGAGCGAACCGCTAGATGTTTAAGCGAGAGTATCAATCTTGAACCGAACGGTTAATTGCCCGACTTTACGTTTCGAACTTGAAATTACTATCCCCGATTCCCTAGCTTCTTTATGATTTTTCATTTCTATTTTAGGTAGATTTATGTTTTATGCATTTCTTAGTTGTTAGTTAAAACATGTTATCTTGATTAGAGTGTTTAGGATTTATTTTCTTTCTTTGTGTTATCAATACCACTTCTAAATTCCGAACTGCCTTCCTCGAGAGATCGGTCCGGGGAACGAATCATTTGATTCGGTACTCGGTAATTATAAAACAATTTGTGCTACAACATTCAGCAAAGCTCTCAATTCCAAACAAATCTGGAGGCTTCTTACAAAACCAAATCTGTTGGTAAGCAAAGTTCTTAAGGTAAAATAATTCCATCAAGAGAGTTTGTTTACAGTGAAAAAGAAGCACAACAGTTCCTGGTTGTGGAACAATTTGCTGGAGGTCAGAGATTCTTGGGCACAGATGCTAGATATGAAATCAAATATGAGAAATCAGTGAAATCTGGGAATTTACATGGATTCCCACATTGCCTGGTTTTAAACTTTTTACAGCTCCTCCTGCTTCTAGCACTCATCTTATTTGGGTGAGAGACCTGATGAACCACACAGGGAGGCACTGGGATAGTCAACTGATTTTGGAGCACATTAAGGGAACAGAGGCACAAGCAATTCTCAGTATCACAGGTATTGATCCATCACACCAAGACAGACTAATATGGGACAGTAGAACCAATGGTGCCTTCACAGTTTCTTCTACTTCCTCCAAGCTGGTGGCTGATAAATGGAAAATCCTGGACTATGCTGAGAGTAGCAGAGGGCATGAAAGGATAAAGGCAACCAGAGCAAGAAGTCGGGGACTTAAAGTGAAAGGGCAGTTGAAACACTTTCTCTGGAGGTGCCTTAATAATACTCTGCCAGTAAATTGCAATTTGCTGAAAAAAGGGATGGATTTGGACTGTATTTGCAAGGGTTGTGGGGAGCAGCCTGAGACAGTGGAACATCTTTTCTTCCATTGTATTAGAGCTAAAATAATCTAGAGACTCTCACAGGTTTCCTGGGATGGACTGCAAGTAAAGACTAACAATTTTCAAAATTGGTGGTCCTGTGTGTGTGGCTTAAACTAGACTGCAACCTCAGAGGCAAGAAGTCAATTTTCTACCTATATTCTCTGGTGGTTGTGGAAAGCTAGGAATGTGGGTGTTTCAAGACTCTTGGATGGAAGACAAAGTTGTGGCTGACCTAGCTGGAAAAGACTGGAGAGAGTTTTCCAGGGTGACAACTTAGTTTTTGCTTTATAGCTTTTCTTTCTTTTGTGCAGTTTTGTTCTATAGTCTTGTGTTTTCTTTATGTTTGTAGTATTTTGCTGAGAGTTCTTCTAGGCCATATATAGCGCAGTGTTAGAACTCTCTTTTGGGAGGTTAAGCTTGCAGCTAGCTGTTGGATCCAGTGGGAGAAGCATTGCCAACAGGTAGCTTGCAAACTTGATATTTAGTTTTTTGTTGACTATATAGTGTTTTCTTGGTTATGTAGGTTTTATTTTGGATTTTCTTAGATTTCCTATGGGAGGCTTTTGGTGACCAGTTCGTCTTCGACTTATACAAATATTTATTTTACTGGAGTTATACATTCTATCGTTTTGGAAAAAAAAAGATTAATAAAGAATTTTACGTGAGTATAATGATTTCTTGATTTTAAAACTCTTATTTGCTCTTATTAAAATTTATTTTAATAATACTGTGCAAGTTAGATTTGCAACTGGAATTGAGAAATGATGCAGTGATGATTATAGTGATGAGTATAGTGATGATTATGGAGTATAGAACAAGGTTGACTGGATGGTATTATCATGGATACTTAGTTATGGATTTAGCTGAGTCATTTATCTATGTTGATACAGCAAGAGAGCTTTGGGAGGTTATATTGGAGAAAGTAATGGTCCTTTGAAGTATAAGAAATAGAGAGATTTCAAATCTGAATTAAGGAAATAGTTCAGTGATGGAATTTTCAATAAACTCAAGAAGCTATGGATGACTATGCATGCAGTGTTCGTATTCAAGTTTGTGGTAGTGAGAAAAAAAGTTGAATGCACAACATGAATCTGAAACAAAGCTGATTTGGTTTCTCACAAGACAATGATAGATATGATAACATAAAAAAATAGAAGTTGACAGATCCACTACCTACAGTAATATGGCATATTCAATGATTCTAATAGTAGAGAGTTGTGCGAAATGAGTGTGGGGAAAGGACAAATAATGCTGCTATGGTAGCATGGACAAAAAGCTATGGGAGAGGACATTATAACCAAGTAAGAGGAGGCAATGGAGATAGAGGTACGTATGTATTTAGGTACACAGTGGACACATGTAGGTATTCCTTATCATCCGGTCCCCCCACTCTGGTGGAGTTAGGATAACTCGATCTAAGAGTAGTTGTTTGTCTCTGATCCTACTGACGGAGCTTGCAACTTATCTGATCGATCTGCTACCTAGTGCTTCCTTTTATTTCATTTTACAATATTACTCTCGACCTCTTATTCAGTGAAATCGTGGGGGATTACACAGAATTGCGCTAAGTAGTAGAAACAGTAAGTACAGAAGTAAGTTCATTCAAATACTAAACCCCTCTGTTCACGTAGGGATTGAAATGATCGACATCTTTTCAAATCACGTAAAAGTACAAATTTTGATTCGTAGAAAATTTCGAAAAATTACCTCTTAATTTTCTTCGTAAAGCGACGATGGAGAAGATATCAATTCCCGGTAATGTGGCTATCACCGTATGTTTCGCCGTAAGGGATCCATGTGTCTCCCCTCTAATCAAGTCCACCTTTTTGATTCTGACTCCGTGAACAATTTCTTCGCTAGTAGAAATTTCCCGGTATTGAATTCGTATAGGAATACAAAGAAGAGAGGAGATTTTTTTTTCTTTCTTTCTAAAAGTCGAGAGCATCTGATTCTTCTTGCAAATAATAGGGATCTTAGCCTACTATACATCATATGTACTCATATATATATATATATATATATATATATATATATATATATATATAATAGCAAAGGATATGGAGTGACATAACTTCCATCTACCTTTTACTAATTAGGATGAGGATAACATGGGGTGGCTAACAACCCCCCACCTAACATATATATTATATTTTTTTTTTATTTTAATCTTTAATCATAATTAAAGATTAATTAAAGGTAATGATACATAATTTATGAAACTAACTTTCAAAATTAATTTGTCAAAATCTTATCTCCCATAAAAATAAAATATCCTCTTTTATGTAGGCTTTTCATATGTAATCATATTAATATTTGGATTTGATTTTTAAAGTCACACTTTAAAATCCAACTAATAATTTAGTAATTCCAATAATTACTTAATTAATATCCAAAACTCAATTAATCAATCCGATTGATTAATTTATTCTATTCCTTTAATTGACATCTAATTAAAATTAAATTTAATTAAATAATCAAATTATTTAATTAAGTCTTGTCAATTAATCCAACTATTGGAAATACCAATTTCACTGGAGGTGAGGGAGGCCA